TATATAATAATATATTATAATAATTTATCGAATCTATAATGTTACATTACACGTGAATGCTCCCAGTGAGGAAGCACCTTAATATTGTGGTATTATTTATAGATGGAGATGTGACGCACCGCCGATAAACAACCAGGTACAGCGTGTTGGCGTAAGATATGAGGGAGATCCCAGCATTCGGATAGGACAAGTCTCTGTAAGTTATTTCCCACCTGCTCCACATATAGCATATGGTCAGTTGGGAAATTATTTCATGGAAGTCAATATAACAACACCTGTCGGCAGAGAGGTCAGGTCCACTGTAGGAATGTACTATAGAGCATAATGGAACTAATATTTACTTGGAAACTGCGACATCACTATATAAAAAATATTATGTTTTAAAATAAACACATTGTGGTATAAACTAATACTGAATTGTATAAAAATTATATGAATAAAAACCTGGTATTTTTTTTAAACGCCTCGACAGTTCATATAGAAACACTGTTTGAATGCACGGTTGGTGCGGTCTGGTTCGATTCCCGCAAGGAAAAACTCTTTATATGATCCACAGATTGTTGCTGAAAATGTGGGGCAGTTTTATATTAAAAAACAGATGAACTGGTTATTTTGTAACTTGTATCAGCCTATTATTTATTATAATTTTATTTTTCACTGCACTGCCTCATTGGCCAAGTGGTCGCAAGTGCGACTGCCGGGCAAGGGGTCTCGGGTTCGATTCCCGGGTCGGGCAAAGTATTACTGGGTTTTTAAAAAAATATATATTAGTAACAGAACTAAATCCGGAATTGTGCCCGGTATATGGCAATAGGCTCACCCCCTATTACATGGGACTCATAATATAAATAGGGAAAAGTTAGTGTTACATTGTACAGTAGTATAATGTACACCACTGCCTACCCCATCGGGGATAAAAGGCGTGATGATAATGTTATGTTTTCACTGCATGATTTACTAGGTAATAAATTATTGTACAATATTTTTATTACCTTTACCTACTACCTACATTTGCATTCAACAAAAATTGTAAACTATAGATTCCTATGCAAGCATTAGCGGGCTTTAAAATGTAATAAAAATAGTTGACTGGTATGTGGTAGGTTATCGCTTAAATCTAAATATAATAAACTAACATTGGATGCATTCCGAGTAGTATCTGTCAGTAATCAAGTTTCAACGGAGAAGAGCTATAAGTCTTAGAATAGTTGGGGAATAATAGTTGTATTAGAGTAAGTGAAGATAATTTAAACTTAGGAAAAATATGATTTTATTGAATAGTCAAAATCTATGGAATTCAAAGAATAAATGTTGAACATTTTCTCATTCTTAATTTTCAAAAAGTTTCTGATTAGAATTTTTCTTTGACAATATTTTTTTCTTTCACTGTGTTTTATTTGTTCTCGTGGTCCTGCTTCTCATGTACAAGGCTATGAGTTGGAAGCCTACCTACAGCAATGTACCAATGAGACTTTTTCCGAGTTATATGTACTTTTAGATTATTTAGGCATCACTGACAAACGGTGAAGGAAAGGATCGTGAGGAACCATGGGTTTACACTTTCTTATTATAAGTTTGAAATCGCCAACCCACATTAAGCAAGCGTGGTGATTAAAACCTTCTTCGTGTAAGAATAGGCCTTTGGTGAGCAGTGAAAACTTATAGGCTGTTGATAATGATGATGATGTGGTTTTATTTATTTTGGAGAAGTACTTTTACCCATTAAGTATTTAAATTTGTTGGATGGAATGTGGCCGGACCGCATTCTCAATAATGCTACCACATATTTCCTATCTATCTCCCTACCTCCAAACCATGGGTATCGAGGCAGTTCAAGCTAGATAGTTTTATACCAGATGCCTTTCAGGAGTTTCATAATTATCACTGTGCTGTCTGTGTAGGTGTTAACTCCACAGTAATGATTTATAGACTAGCGCCGGAACTGAACTAATGTTGGCTTAAAACCTGCCTATACCAACCTACCTATCATTATCATCATCAACAGCCGAAAGACGTCCACCGCTGGACAAAGGCCCCCTTAGTCCGCCACGTTGAACGACAACTTGCCACCTGCATCCACTGGCTCCCCTCAACTCTGGCGATGTCGGTCCACCTAGCGGGATGTCTGCCCACGCTTCATCTTCCAGTCCGTGGTCTCCACTCAAGGACTTTACTCCATTTCCTTCCTACTATAAAATAAATAAATTGTATGAAAAAAACAAAGTCTTTTATTTGAATGCATGCAACTCTTTCTGCGTTCTTATAACATAACATCACGTCTTTTATCCCCGAAGGGGTAGGCAGAGGTGCACACTATGCCACCGGATAATGTAACACCCACTTTTCACTATTTATGTTATGAGCCTATTGCCATACACCGGGCACAATTCCAGACTCCATGTTACTACTGAGAATGTTTTTAAAAACCCAGTAATACTTTGTCCAACCCGAGAATCGAACCCGAGACCGCTTGACCGGCAGTCGCACTTGCGACCACTCGGCCAACGAGGCAGTATTTTTGTAATAATTATTTATGTATCTATATATTACATATATTAAAATTATAGAAGTGTAAATTCTGTACATAGAAAATATAAAAAAAAGAAAATAGCAGGGGGCATTATTAGATTGATACCAAACCCCAATCACAAAAATGTAATTAAAAACGTGGTTGTCTGTCTATCTGTCTGTATGTTCACGCATCACGCAAAAACTACTGGTCCGATTACGATGAAACTTAGTATGATTATACCTACTTTAAAATCCTGTACACAACACTTCATACTTTTTATCCCAGATAAGTATATACACAAAAAAAAACGAATTTAATTATACAGCTCAATCTCTAGACACACTTACTGTACCAAACGCAAATATAGGTTTGTGGCTTGCCCGCAGTGGACTTTGCGCTGTAACAGTAAGGCCGATGGTTGAAATTACCTTGATATTGTAAATGTGAAAATATGTGAGTTTGTGTGTATGTTTTTTACACAATCATATCAAAACGGCTGAAGGGATCGGCATGAAATTTGAAACAGAGGTAGATTAAGGTCTGGAGTAAAACATAGGCTATTAACCGCCGGTTTCGCGGGCGAAGCCACTGGCAGGAGCTAGTGTTTAAATAAAATTAAAGGATCAGAATTTCAAACTTCAGGTATTTGGGCTTATAGATTCATATAAACGGCTAATAACTTATATAGGCTTCCAAGACGAAAATGGGTGTTCCCCAGGGTTTAATATTGGGTCCCTTTTTCAGTCTACATCAGAAATTTGCAATCGAATTTGAAGGAAAGTACTGACTAACAAATTGCTCTTGAGATAAAGTCTCTCTGTGATTTCATTTACATCTCCATCATTTAGAGTAGTTTTAAAATTAATTTTAAACCAGCATGAACGTGGTTATTGTAGATGAGAAGCTTCATCATCATCACAGTGCTGTCAGCGCTCGCAGCCTGCTATTGTGTTGCTGATCCCTTGAGCGAGAAAGAGATGCAAGAAGTACATCGCTGTTACGTACGACGTCTACTAATCACCCAATGGAAAGAATTTGTCTGACGCAGAGCATAATTCCGGATCTTACGATTGGATACTACTAGTGTTATCTGAGTTAGTATCCACTAGGTTAATGACTGATAACAAAGCAGACAGCCACCGTAGGCTGCATTATATCCTTTGGGTGATCCCGCAAACATGTTCAGCCGGCGACCGATTTTTCTAACGTTTATTTTTCTTTTAATACTAAATAATGCCAATATACTTAATGGCTTCTCGAGTAGTCAACTACAAAGTTGAAGCTGAGATGTTTGTATAATAGTAGATCTAAATAAACAAACGTGATAAGCAACAAAGATATATATTATACTAGATATGATTATACATATGACATCACGCCTTTATCCACGAAGGGGTAGGCAGAGGTGCACATTTTGGCACTTAATGCCGACGACGACGTAACACCCACTTTTCAATATTTATGTAATGAGTCGAATGTGATAGGGGGTGACCCTATTGCCATATACCGGGCACAATTCCAAACTCCGTGCTACTGTTGTGATTTTTTTAAAAAAGCCCAGTAATATTTCGCTCAACCCGGGAATCGAGTTCGAGACCCCTTGCCCGGCAGGCGCACTTGCGACCACTCGGCCAACGAGGCAGTGGATATAATAATGTACACACAAATATGACACATACCTCATAAATACATGTCGGTCAAATCGTAAAATAAGGATTCCTGTGCAAAAATTGTCGGACTTTAATTTTTTTTAAATTGTTGCCTAGTAGGTTATCGCTGTAACTGAAATATATAAATAACGTTGGATGCAATACAAGTAGTATTTATCAGTGATTAGGTTTGAGGGGCGCGCGGCGGCGGGCTTCACTTTTTAGAAAAATTAAGGAATCCATCAGTGTGAGTGAACATAATCCCATTAATATTATAAATGCGAAAGATTTTATGACTGTTTGTTGTCACTTCTTCAAGTCCAAATGGCTGAAGGAATGGAGATGAGGAAACAGGGGTAGATTATTGTTTAATATAGCAATAGGCCTTTTTATACCACCGGAATAATAGAAGTCAGTCTTTTGAGAAAACTGTATAAAATCTAACTCAATGATTCATGAATTTTAAAACTGATTTCTGATTACAATTTTTCTATCTTATTATTTGGAAGTACTCTCTCGACATTTATTCTAGGTAGTATGTGAGAGTAACACGTGGTTGTTACAGATGAGGAGCTTTATCATCATCACAGTGCTGTCAGTACTCGCAGCCTGCTATGGTTTCGCTGACCTCATAAACGAGGAGGTTCAAGAACGCTACACCATGTTGTACGACGAAAAATCACCCAATGGAAGAATAGTGTCTGACGCAGAACTAAATAAAATATCTGAGGAATTCTCAATATTAGCTCAGTAAGTATCTACAAGTACTAAGCTAGTTAATGCTAATAACTACTTTTTTATAGGATAAGCTGATAAACGAGGAGACGAAACACCGGATGGAAAGCAATCGGCGCCGTCCATGGACACCCGAAACACCAGAGGCGTTGCAGGCCTCTTGGGGATTAGGAATTTGAGGATTGTTGGGGATTAATAGAACGTTTTGTTACGTTGTTTTAGAGTCAGACAAAATATGTTTGTAGAGGTATATAGTATCTGTATGGTTAAAGCAATAGCTGGACGAAAGGTGTAAGATGTCGTACAAAACACTCCTTTGTGTAACCCACAAATTGTTGTTAAGGGTCTATTGTATGTGTATGAACACCACAAGAGGGACCACATTAAGTGACTCGTATAGCCTGCTAGACTTAAGTTACGTGTACTCATTATTGTATGAGCACGATCCCGAAAATTGGAATGGGAACAACTCCGCTTTACGGTTATACAATCAGAGAGAGTTGGACCATATCATGCAGTATTTAACTTAGATTGCATAATATAGTTGGCCATTACAAATATACGAACTGTCACGTCAAAGAAATGTGATAATGTCGCAAAACTCGCTTTGTAAAATGACAGAGACGGCACGATATTTACCTTTCAGTCTATTACTGAAGGGACTGCCTCGAATGGTCCGAATAGTCGCAAGTGCGACTGCTGGGCAAAGGGTCAAAAAATCTCAATAGTAGGTTCACCCGCTCACCCCCTATCTCATGGGACTCATAACATAAATAGTGAAAAGTGGGTGTTACATTCCACAGTAGCATTCAGTGCCGCAATGTGCACCTCTGCCTACCCCTTCGGGGATAAAAGGCGTTATATTATGTCATGATAGGTCATTTCTTATTGAAGATAAATTTATTATACTGTTAGGAATTAATATTGTAATATCATTTACAGATGGTATTGTCAATCACCCGCTCTTCCCGACAAAAATCAGCGTGTAGGTGTTATGTATGAGGGACCTCCCGGTACTACAATGGTCATATACCTTGTATTCTATCACCCACCTAAACCAAAAATAGAACATTCCAAATGGGGATCCAATTTTCTTTCAATTAATATAACATCACCTATCGGTATCAGTGTCGACGCCGTGGTAGCATTGTACGGAAATTTTCCTAAATAAAGCCAATATTGCTTGAAAACCGTGACATCTGACACTTAAAATCTTTGAATACAGTGATCTTTGTATTAACACATAATATATTAATGTTGCATTCCGAAATCAAAGTTTAAGTATAATGAAATTGTATCAATAAAAATATGGTTTTTTATTTCAAAGCCTCGACCTATATTAAGAACTCGTTTCTCTGACACTTATAATGCCCTTAGCAAACTTTTTTTACTTGTTCATAGCTCAATAAGAATTACAAATTACGGTGCTTCTTTTCTATATGGGTCAACTTTAAGTTTCTTTTTAATTAAGTTACGGTAAACAACGAATGAAGTTTCTTGCTCGTTCTTCTCGAGCTTCACCTAGCTTCACTGACGGACTATTTATTTTGTATTGGTTGACGTTTCAAAAATACCAAATTATGGTTTAATTGAAATAAATGTTTTGTCTTTGACTTTGACAAAGTCGCACTAATATGTTGCCATTTTACGTGTAAATTTGTCACATTCGTTGTAAATGTGTCTTGTTGCTATTATTTCACGTAATTTAACATGTTCCTTTGACAAAAATAATTATAATGGTCTGGCCATGAAGCAAACAAGCTTTGATAGTCACACTGCGAAAGCAGAGACAACGGTGATATCAGTATCCAAGAACAAAATTTTAGGTTATAGAACTGAGGAACTTACAAAAATTATCAAAGTATTCGCACGTTTAATACTAGACATGGAGTTCCTCAAGGTAGTATTTTAAGTCCTACTTAATTTCAAGTTCACATTAGGGATTTCTCTAATCACATAAATCATGATAACTTTATCTCACATCAAATATTTTTTTAGTTCGTGTGACGCCTGTGACAAAATTATAAATAAAACACTAATGTTTTTATAAATATCATTTATTTGTTCAACAGTTTTATTAATAGCAGAGAGTACATAGAGTTTAGTTCGTATTTTCCATTCATACATGACAGACATACACGAAGGAGACAATCCTGCTATATTAATAAAATTGAATTACCAAAATATACATACCTACTCTCATAGTAGTCGAATGACTGCATTGAAATGGATTGCTGTTTTTGTCGGCGAAGTTTGTACAAAAGAAAGATTTGATACATTCATCGGAACGTTGGGAAATAGGACCCAGGCGAAGCTGGGACGGGCCGCTAGTTATAAATAAAAAAACCCAGTGGTAGTCACTACATACAGGCAGATTTCACACATAGTGAGAACATATAGTAGTACAATACAACCCGCTGGGAATTTAATATGGACAAATTCATTACAAGACTTGCTAAAGGGAAAAAAAATTTGATCAGCCAAATTTTTTCTTAGCGTGTTCGAGTATGAATGAATAGTCGTTCTTCTTTTGTTTGGTCTTTTAGTTTGTTTTTAATTTTCCATGTTGCTTATAATCTACATAGTTGTGAGACTTGCAACATAAAAATTTAATGGTAATTTGCGTATCAACTATACATAGATTTTATGGGTTTTTGCTACGTAAATGTGTAATAAATTTGAACAAAACTGTAACTTAACATAATTTTCGTAGACCTGTCCCAATTATACTTAGCTTGCATAAACCTAACTTAACCTCTTCATTCGCTCTCGATTGCAAAAATAAATCAAATTACGCCAAAAACTATTTTTGGCACAATTTGATTTCTATCAAATACAACCTATGCTAAAAAATACATGCTAAATAATTATGTAAAATTAGAAATACCGAAGTATATTAGAACGAAGAACATTAGATGAAAAGCGGGTTCGCCGAATGCTTTCCCTGCCCCGCTCCGTTGTTGGTACAATCTGACAGTTGCCTGAATAGGCTGGCTGATATTTGACAATAACCTTACTTCCATGTTATTAGTTCCTAGTGCACTGTGGTATACATTTGCAGGGTTTATTTGTGGAGTAATAGTAATTCTGTCTATGACAGTGTTCGTTGGGCCTTGGTACGTCACGAAGGAATTTTTTACCCTGCCGACCGCTGCTGGCGCGCTACATGACACCCTGAAAATAAGCATAACATAATTTTATCCCCGACGGGGTAGACAGAGGTGCTCATTACGGCATCTAATGCCACTGTGCAATGTAACACCCATTTTTAAAATATATGTTATGAGTTCCATGTAATAGGGTGTCAACCTATTGCCATATACCGGGCACAATTCCAGACTCCGTGCTACTACTGAGACTTTTTTTAAAAACCCAGTAATACTTTGCACGACCCGGGATCGAGTTTTAATCATTTTAAGCGCCTGTTGCAACACTTTCATATAAGTACTACAAGCGGTTATTCATACATTGTGAAACAGGTCTTCGCTCATATATCCCCAAACGGTCACTGGTGACGGCTCTCCACTATTATTACATTACATTATAGACCTTATTTCCAATGTTTAGAGACTACTTTTGTATTACCAAATTTAAGGGATGGATTTCAACGGGTTAAGTTATAGTATGGTTTACAAAGTGTTCGAGATTTACTTAGTGTATAAAACGTTTGCTTCAAACTGAGCGTCAAAACAAGCCCAAGAGAAGAAAGAATAACTTCCTTAAGATTCAACACGACCATTTTATATTGCTCTTCTAATATAAGGGCACCCAGAGTATTACCAACGTATTCTTTTTTATGCAGTATACTCACTCGTATAACAATCTCCATCCATCATTTTTTGCTTCAACCTCAGCACTGGTCATAATTGTTCCATTGACAGCTGTATCATCATAAACTAAAGTGAAAGCATCTGTCATTTGTCTGCTTGAGACAAAAGCATCATGTCTGCCAGATATCACCCGGCTTGGCAGAACAAATGCTTCATAGGAGGCTACTAGTGCCGACAGCACGATGATGACGATGAAACTCTTCATCTGCAAATACCATGGGATTTAGCTACATATTGTTTGTGTTGGGACTGAGACTTGATGATAAGAAAGATTTTCCTGTATAGAACTTTGTCTTGTGTGAGAAAAATCCATATTTCGAGATGGCTTATTGGCACAGTGATATTTTATACTGACCATAAAACTCTATTGAAATACTCAAGATAATAAAGAACAGACAGATTCACATAAAAATCGTTGACAAGATTTTTTTTTAAACGTTGCCCCACATTAGCATTTTCTCCTGTGTCGTGGGTGCGTTTACAAACATACAAGTTCACATACACAATGACACCCAGACCCGAAACAACAATTTGTGGATCACACGCGACACGTTGCACGGCAGCCGGTTGCCCAGCCACCGCACCAACCGAGCAGTCATTTAATGAGTAAAGTAAAATAAGTAACCTACTTTTTAATAAGTAAAATATTAATGTCGCACATTTTTTGAGAAATATCACTGTACTATCTTTAGACCATATTATAAAAACTAGTAAAGAGATTATCTGTCATATTGATTTAACTAATAGACATTAAACTGATATGGAAAAATGTAATGTAAAATATTTTAACTCACACTGATATTTTTAATTTATCCCAAATACAAAACTCGTGCACTCACGAATATCACCGAAAGGTACTACGCATATGAGATGTAACCAAATTTACATCATTGGCAAAATGATAAGATACAGTGAGATACAGTTGACATGTTTATCTACATCAGGGCAGATAGGAATCAATACTTTTGCTCTCCAGCTCAAAAATTCGATACAGGAAAACAAAAAAATATTTTTATCATCACTCTCTTTTGTCAGTGAATGTCATTGAGGTTTGAAACCGATTAAGTATTCTGTACTCGGTTGTCAAAGAAGAAGAAAAAAAAGTATTCTGTACCATTTTTTTATGTGATAGGGCAGCAAACGAGCTGACAGTAATCACGTTGTTCTTAGACGTCTGCAGTGGCGTAACTACAGTGTACAATTACGGATGGGAAGTCCACAAAGTGCCACGAGTCCCGAGCTGAGAGAGGGCCTGGTTGAAACTCTATTTTATATTTGGTAGGGCCCGCTTCAATTTGCTATGGGCCTCCATCGGTATAGATATGTCATTGGACACATACAACGCCAAAGGAGTTAGCAATATGGCTTTTGGAGGGAGAGAACTGAGCATCCGTTAACCTCATTACTGAGGTTACATTCTTAGGAATGCAAGCGTTGTTTCACGCCGATTTTCTGTGTGGCAATGGTACCACTGCGATTGATTGAGTCGAAAACTTATTCATGACAATCAGAGTCAACGTGCATCAAATAAGCACTTTCTATAATACCATAAAGTGAAATATAAAAGATTAAGGGCTCATAATATGTATTACATTTACTTATTATTATCATAATAAACTTATCAATATTTTGATTTATTATACGCAAATTATCATACATATCTCACTACGGAAGCCAGATCTAGATCAATGGCATAAACGGTAGTCGAGTTTATAGATGTCAATGTACAAGATTTGTTGAATGACGACTTTTTGGGTTACCGGTTCAAAGCAAGAATAGGAACGGGGTGGTTTTTAGTTAACGAAAGCAATAAATATAGTACGCCTCACTCAAGGCAGGAGAAGGAATTCAATGATTTCCTCCCCCTACCCCCATAAAAAAGGCAAGAAAAGTCATTCATTCACAAGATTTTCCACCCTTAAAAAAGTCCTCATAAAAAAAACATATTTACCAACCAAGTATTCAAAAATGCTAACTAACAACACACTAGCGGAACTTTAAATACCAATAAGACGTTCAAAATGAAAGTCATCATTATTATTTGTTTTATATCCATTTATGAATAACTGTTTATGTAAAAGTTTATCAGTGATAAAAGAGACCGTTTGGATTTCCGATAGCCGTGAAGATTCATAAGGAAATAACAATGTAATTGATAAAAATAATTCAAGTATTTTATCAAATACTTTAATCAGTTACATAGATAATATTATTTGTCACTATTTACCTATGATTCAGAGGCCAAGGTCGGAGATTATGGCAGATCCTCTTTCGTAAAGAAGGCTCAAACTCCACCAATGGACTATCACGGACTGTTGAAATTGGCGGAGTAGCTCACAAGCAAGGGTCTTCTTTGATTGTCAAGTTAAGTACTGAAATTCTAAGTACATATTTTCTGCACTACCCAAAGGATGACTGGCAAAGAATGCTGTTAGCATCGTCCTTACACAATTGTGTAAAACTTAAATAAATACATTAATTAAGAAATTGACATTATTATGGTCATTACGGATTGCACGGAACGGACCCCGGAATTATGTGTATCGGACGTTTCACAATGTGCACTTCAACAAGGTTCATAGTCCAAAGAGACTTATATTAAATAAAGCTTGTAAGCTAACGCCATCTAGTTTCATTTAGAATAACTCAACTCAGACATACTAACGCCACCTAGGGAAGTTCAAACGACAGTCAAAACTCACTTGTCATCTTCAAAATCCGTTTATGAACATTGTTTTCCGTAAATACATATGTTAGTATTATCACATTAGAGATAAGATAATATAATATATTAAAATATTATAATAATTTATTTTGAATGTTGTATTTTCTGATAATGATTAAGATCCAATAAGGAAATGTAATCTATTTGTTGATTAAGTCAGTCTTTATTAAATTATTTTATCATTCGGTTATTTTATCATAATTTTATTCATTAAGCTTTATTGGTTATTCACTGACTGCCTTGGCACCTTTTATTAATTAATACGAACCGACGTATTGATAACCTAACTAACCTAATAACCGCGTTCAATGCATGCATACGAGAGTTAGGAAGAAATGAGCAAGAGATAGTAAATATTCAGGAGTGGACTGTCATCTGCACGGTTGGTGCGGTGGCTGGGCAACCGGCTGCCGTGCAACGTGTCGCGGGTTCGATTCCCGCACGGGACAACACTTTGTGTGATCCACAATTCCACAAATTGTTGTTTCGGGTCTGGGTGTCATTGTGTATGTGAACTTGTATGTTTGTAAACACACCCACGACACAGGAGAAAATCTTAGTGTGGGGCAACGTTTTTTAAAAAAAAAAAAAAATTGTCTGTTGATGTGATATAAATTGTGACACTCACACATCGAACTAAAAATGCACCAGTTTATCAAGGTCTCGCTTCATACTTTCTCTCTACACATTCGACGATCAGCTTATACTGGTTTTACATAGCTTGAGTAGTAGCCAAGTACAAGGTATTGGCATAAAACTCTGCATCACCCTAAGGTTGACTGTTAGAGAATGCCACTAGGCATTAAGTCCGCCATTGTATACAATTGCAAAATGTGTAAATAAATAAAAAGATGATGAAAATCCAGGTAACAATTGCATCAGTTTATTGCACAATGCCATCACATGCGCAAATTCTATTAATTTCCAGAAATTCAGCAACGTTATCAAAGGAATGTTAAACGTATTTAATGGATAATCATTTAATTTTATCAAACAAATCAGTTCATTTTTGAGTGGCACTGTTGAAAGTCGTGATTACTAGAGGTAATTATAATTACTGTGAATTGATGTTAATTCATTTTTAAAATGTCTATGTATAGAACGATACTTATTTTGGATACTGCAGTGATTTGTGACATAAGTCTACGTTTTTGTAACCGACTTCAAAAATAAATGAAAGACCTCTTTTTTACCTGTGTGTGTATGTTTGTTCGCAATTATCTCACGATTGGCGGAATCGAGTTTGATGCGGTTTATCGAAAATTGTTTAATACACTTAGGAAAAGGGTTAAGAATATTTTAATTAACCGACTTCAAAAAAGATTGGGTTGAAGTCAGGTTATGTAAACGCACTTTATAAAAGAATTATTTTCATGTGATAAGGGAGTAAAGTCGTGTCACCTGATCGCAAGCGATCAGTGCCGCCCATGAACACATCATCTATATCAGTACTTCGAATTAAGCGCATGAACAAAATTAACAGCAATTGTCATTTCAGACGCTTTACTTCACGTGAAACTAAAGAGATATAAGTTAGAATAGATATGTCATATAAAAGTCATTTAAAACATAGTTCATCTCATCGGCTCACCATGTTTAGTCACAAAATAAGAGGTTGTTGCAGATGAGGAGCTTCATCATCATCGCGGTGCTATCAGCACTCGCAGCCAGCTATGGTACTCCTGTCCTCCCGAGCGGAGAAGAAACGTACCCAGAGTACAAAATGATACACAAGTACAATAAGGAAGATGATTTTCAGAACCGGATCACAATTCTTAGAGAAGGAATGAGACATGATAACGATCGCCAGGATGGACTAGTGTTATTAGACGAGTAAGTTTATGTCCTTAATCATTGACTATTTAGTAATGCAGGGTTTAATCTAGTATATAGAATAGGTTCAGGTGTCAGTAGAGTCAGTCATCTAGCGGAAATCCATGCCACACTAACAACTGAGAAAGTATTTAGTTTTCATTCCGCTGAAGGAATGAATTTTCAATCCCGCCCACAGATAAACGCTCATACAGCAGAGATGCGACAAAAACACACACACGACAAACAACAAACCACTCGAAGCCACACTCGACATATTCAATCCGCGGGAGCCGCCAAGTCAACAACTCCTGAAGATGCTCCGTGGACGAGCAAAACATATGTCGAGTGGATGTGTGTGTTAATAATAGGGATGATGACAGGGTATGAAAATAAAAATGTTCGTCAGTTAGGTAATGAAAAAGTATTAGACACGTATTTTTTATTTTGTTGTATGATAAAATGATACTCAGATATAACCAATCAACGTTTAGGAGTGGGGGCTAAATCGTCATTATTACGCATAAAATGTACATAGAAGTGACGTCACGCGACAATTCGAATCAATATATCCGTAAAAATATAAAAAATACGTGTCTAATGTTTTTAAATAATCCACTAGATGGACATTAAAATAAAAATTAGTTATCTACCCTGTTGGCGTTAACCAATCCCAGAGCTTTAAATTTGTCTTACGTTTATAAATGTATTGTGTTTTTATTTTCAGACAGCGGTTCATAAGGACTGCTATTCCTGATGTGATACAACATGTGGATATCTTATACTATGGAAAGCCACCCACGGTGATAACAACAGTCGAGATAACATCATCGCCACCCCCGTCTTTGGTGTTTCCAGTTTGGCACCTGGATAATTATATTTCTATTAGAATATCATCACAAAGAGGTCTTGGAATGAATGCGACAGTTCAAATCTTTGGAACATTGTAAGGTCGGAGTGAAAAACGAAAAGCAGTTTTAAATTATTATACTTTTAGGTCCAGGTTTAAGCTGAACAGCTGAGTGGATGTTATATGTAATATTACACTTATAAATGTTATATTTAGGTAACTTTTTGTTTGTATCTAGTATCTCTATGACAAATATCTCGTCACAGTCAGTTCTAGAGGTATTAATAAATTGTACATGTACCTGAATAAATGAATAAAAATTATTTCGCATAAGTTCACGTCTTTAAGATTGTTTTCGTTTTTATTTAGGGCTTCATTAATTGCGCAACAGTTTTGTAGATACAAGCATTTTTAACAATGTTATAAAATCTTATCGTAAGTAAACAATATAACATAACACCACGCCTTTTATCCCCGAAGGGGTAGGCAAAGGTGTACACCACGGCCCTTAATGCCACTTTACAATGTAATGTTTTAAAAACCCAGTGATGATGATGATGAGATCACGCAGTCGCACTTGCGACCACTCGGCCAACGAGGCAGTCAGTAAAGTATCTATCAAATAATATAGTAGTAGTAAAATAGAGCTTTGCTCAGTATATTCACGTAAGTAACCCGCGATTTATAGTTAATTTAAAATAGTAGTGATTACAGAAGGGAATGTGAATTTATAAATATATATTTTCCAATAAAACATACCTTACATAATTATTTTAATGGTTAAAGTTCAATAAAAATAAATAATTGATATACCACCAAACACAATGGTAAACCACGGCCCGGCTCAAACAAGAGTAGGAACTGAGTGGTTTTTAGTCAGGAAGAACCTGACACTCCCTCCCGCCTCATCCAGGGCCAGGAGCCAATGTAATTGAAGACATAATATAAAATATTTGCCCAAATGGATAAAAATTTACAAGGCACCGAATGAGGATATTATCAAAGTTGATATTTGTTGATGACATCCGGTGGGCTAAGATATCTGTACCTATCTCTCTCCTAATAGATAGAGATATCTTTACCCAACGGATGTCACGCACGCAGATAAAATCTTTATAAAATATTATCCGTGATTACCAACAATAAATTACTTTATTAATCGACTTTAAAAAAATATTTTTTAAAGTTTCACCTGAATGTATGTATACCGACTTTGGCATATTAACACGTTAAACGCCATGGGGGTCACCGGTGACGGCGTTAGCGGGGGATTTACCTTCAACAGTTTTTTATTGGCAGTCAAAGTCTTAATTAACCGACTTCAAAAGAGAGGGGCTTGAAGTCTGTTTTTAACGTAGTTCATGAATTAATTATTATTAAGTTGTATCGTGCGCGGCTGTGTTAAAACTGCTGTGCATTCTGGACGAATATTTTAATGCAAGTATATATTATGCAAGTAAGTATATATATACGTTTAATTTAAAAACATATCAACGACACCATCACACTTCGAGAAAACAAATAAATACTTTATTTTTATTCATTTTAGCTATGGTCGTCCCACTGCAGGGCAAAGGCCTCCCCCCTACCCTCCTTCCTCTCGTCTCTTAAAGCTTTCTGTGGTCAAATAAAGAGATAAATACATAGATTCATATTTATATGCATTTTTCTGTTTTCTAGTTTCTATGTATTCCAGATTTTGCCCTTGATTTAATGGCAATCAGTCTCACCTCGAGCCATTAGAAGTTGACCCTATCTTGTTGTACGTGAGTACGTGACAAAGAAGTTCATAGGTTCATATATTTTCATATATTTAAAAAAACGATAAGCTTACTATTGTACAGCCAGCAGTGACGCGGATGATTTCAAAAATTGAAAAACTTAATCATATTTTATCTAATATTTATAAATCGGGGATTTCCCTGATATTGTTTGTGTTAGGTATCTAATCTTAATTGGTTGTCAAAAAATAAATGACTTTTAAAAAGTCCACCTGCTAATTGATTTAATCTTTTTAAATATTTGAGTTACGACGGAGTTTTACTCACATATAGTCGAAAAACCCTATCTAGTTACAGTATAGCTACTGACGATAAGTTAACCAGATGGCAGGTTTCCTACGTACAATATTCTAATCAAAATAAAGATAAAAAAACAGATTATTCACGAGTTTTTTTATCATTTAATATCTTACTATGGACTTTTGCACCCTTTTCATATCAAACTGAATCAGGTTATTGAACCTATGACTGATAAAACACTGACCTACGCACGCACAGTTGCGTCATGAATTGATGACACCTATAATTGATAAAGATAATGTCCACGTGGCATAGGGACTTATAAACGAACACGTGCTTGCTACTAAACTGAAACTGCATGACTGCATTATTGAAACAGAATAAAATAGAATAAACTTTATTGTACACCATTAACAATATAGTATATGCACAATAATAGAGTAGAGGTTGTGTACACACGGTCACACATCAATCTATACAAAACCAGTTTATCCTGGTGTCGCGTCGCATCATCTTTCCGCACATTTAACGCTCAGTTTATACTGGTTATGTAAAGCTCGATGTGTAGCCGTGTGTACTAAGAAAATAAATAAATAACAAAGTAATAATACATACACATACATACATAATTACATGCCTACTTATACCTAAACATACCAATTTTTTTATTTTATGCGTGGAAAATCATCGAATGACTGCTCCCGTCTGGGTGAGCCGGGAGGCAGTGTCAGACTCTTACTGACTAAAAACCACCCCGTTCCTTCTCCTGCACGTCGAGCCGGAGCCGCGGTTACCCGTTAGGTTCTCCGCGACTCTGAATCCGCATCGGCCCTATTGGGCCCCATCTGTGGTGGTCTGATGGCTCTTTGAGGCGCGCGCGGAACGCGACACGCTGTACGCTTGGGTATACATACCATAATACAGTGACTAAATGATCAATTCACTGACCATTTGTAATTTTTGAAAATATATCAGCTGTTACATTTTTTGAAAAGTGTCGTTGCTTACCATCAGGTGATCCGTCTGCTCGTTTACCGGCTTATGCCATAAAAAAATACACCCAAAATTTCAAGACATCCTAAGGTGTGACTCACCTCACTCCCTCATTCATTAAATGTGTAGGATTTGGTTTATTTAAACAAAATAATAAGTGTGGGAGAGCCATGCTTCGGCACGAATGGGCCGGCTCGACCGGAGTGACACCACGGCCTCACAGAAAACCGACGTGAAACAACGGTTGCGTTGTGTTTCGTCGTGTGAGTAAGGTTACCGGAGGCCCAATTACCCTCCCCTTCCCCAATCTCCCCAATTACTGAATGCCCAACGATCCTCAAACTCCTAATTCCTAAAAGGCCGGGAACGCACTTGTAGCGTCTCTGGTGTTCCAGGTGTCCATGGGCGACGCCAGTTGCTTACCATCAGGTGATCCGTCTGCTAGTTTACCGGCTTATGCCAAAAAAAAATTTGGTACAATATTAATTACTATTTCTTCACATACTTTTGAATAAATGGAACTATTTCTTCGGAGACTAAATGACATCACAATAATTTTATACTCATTACGTAGAAAATACGTAGCGTACCAATATCCTTTTGTTATCTATTTTGATAAAGAAGTGGGCATGAAATTATCACTATATCAATGACTAATTGAATCCATTGTTATCTGATATTCCGTTGTGATTGGGTACATTGCAAAACGTTACGCAAACTTAATGTTTTAAATAGTACAATACTTGTAGCGACACCTATCGGACAGAACGAGAAGATAAGTTCGTCAAGTTTGAGCAATGAAGCAAGAGATGGCGCGCTTCGCAAAGTTCTTCATCGCTTATTAATGTTTTGTAAAACATCACGCTAGCTAATCCGAACGTCCAACCCTTACAACCACAAACTTTTAGGGATTAATTACTATAATTACCCATGTGTTTAAAAAACCGTTGGGCAGTAGCTCGTTAGCAAAAGTTGTTTTGTTTTCACAAATTATGAAACGCAACACCCTATTTCCTAAAAGAAGTTTAGTTCAAGACGTAATACGAAAAAAGGATTCTGTGCTTTTAGATTCGAGTACAGCAAATACATAACTAAGTAGGTACATGCGTACCAATGTGCAAGAATATAAAAAAACGATGAATTATTTATATCTTTTGAAAATCGGTTTAAAATCACAAACGAAGTTTTGTGTTGTGTAATATTTGCACAACAGACGACTATTATCATAAAGATTAATCAAAATATGAATTACTTAAGCACTATTAATTCAGTATTTCGTACACAAACAAAGCGATAAACGGTTTAATTGATAAAAATCATATCAACCCGTATCTTTAACTACATATTATGTTAGAGTAAAGGTATGAAATCCGACATAGTGTAGAAAGTTTTTATAATAATTATAGTGAGATATACTAAATTAACTAAAATTGCGGGTTACTTACAAAAATAATATTAAAATCTGTTGCCCAACCAAAAACAACCAATGCAAAAGAATATAAAAAAGGCACAAAGTATCTAAAGTTTATTTTTGTTATAATTTTATTTATCTTACTTATTTTTCATATCTACATTAATAGTCTGATAAGTAAGGAGAAAAAACATATGTACGGTCGAATTGAGAACCTCCTCCTTTTTTTAAAGTCGGTTATTTAATATGGGGGTCACCTGGAAAGTTATCCGGGATTTTTTAAAGGAAAGAAATGTTAAAAACTTGTTGGTAATATTTAATTTCGTAGTTAACGGTTTTCTCGTAAAATGCACAGAAAAACAGATATAGTAAAAAACTATTTTTGGCTAACATTTTTCCAAGATGGCGGCGCGAGCGGCGCACGTATGTACATAGATGCAAAATGGAAATCAGATAGAGCACATCAAAATGTACAAAATTGCCAGAATCAAAACTCCCAGAAAACATTCCCGGTAGAACCATCAAAGTACTAAACTATAACCACAAAGTTTAATAATAGCATTTACAGTAACATTTAAAAGGTAATTTGATTATTTTGAGATACGGTATAATGATTGTATCGCGTCATTCGACAAGCAATAAAATTAAAATGATGAAATGCATTAATATATTAAATCAGATGTTTATATTTAAGCCATTTGATAAAACCAATAGCGATTACAAATATTATTACAATAAATTGATTAAACACATTTATACATTTAGTACACACAAACATTATTAAATTTTTATCATCATAGAATATAAAGGACTATTGTTCACGTAATATGGTAGTTGCCTAAATTTTATGTTAATGTCCGTCTGATACATTAATTTAAAGCACTAGACACATATCGTACCCCCGCGCGCAACTGAACAATGTAAACGTTGTTTTTCCTAGTGCCGTCCAGATTAGCGCCAAAACCGTAACGAAAGTAATGCCCTCACAATGTCAGTTTGCTTACTACACAAATGGCAATAACGCACCAAGTAAAGAGGTGAATTTGGAGTATTCTTTCATAATCAGTTAAGTTTTGACAAAAATTGCATAAGTGACGATATTGCACCGTAGGTGCGATATGTTTTATTTTCTCGCAAAATTAAATACTTTCGACGATATATCAATCTGAAATTGTGCCGGTATATAGCAATAGGCTCACCCCTTATTACATGGGACTCATAACATAAATAGTGAAAAGTGGGTGTTACGTTGTACAGTGGCATTAAGTGCCGAAATGTGCACCTCTGCCTACCCCTTCGGGGATCTCTATACTCTTATCACTCTACTCTTTATGCAGATATTGTTTAGTCAGTTTATAGGTTTGCTAACTTACTCTCCGTCTTGTGTGAGCGCTCTAGAAGCGAACGCGATTATGAAGCGGTGACACACGAATTCAATGCAACGCGGTGCGACGCGGCAGCAATCTCGTACGTTCATGCGAATTGTTTCGCTTCGTTTTTGTTCTCGACATTTTTTTTTTTAACGTTGCCTCACACTAGGATTTTCTCCTGTGTCGTCGGTGCGTTTACAAACATACAAGTTCACATACAGAAACAACAATTTGTAGATCACACAAAGTGTTGTTCCGTGCGGGAATCGAACCCGCGACACGTTGCACGGCAGCCGGTTGCCCAGCCACCGCACCAACCGTGCAGCCGAGCATAGATTGCCGAGCGTACATTAGGTACAATCAAACAAAAACCTGACAACACCGCATCCAAATATGACAATTCGCACGAAAATATCAAACGAACTGCACGACACCTCCTCCCATGGGCGACTCGTAGGACATTTCAATAGGTTTCGACAGTTTGTTGTTTTCGCACTGCACCGCACTGCTTCGCGTTCGCTTCCAGATCGCCCACGCAGGACATAGCGTTAGCAAGCCAACTAAACAGCATCGCTCTTTGATAAATCAGAACCTTTTTTAAACTGTGGGCTCCAACCCGGTCGCTAATGGAAATGATAGCAAAGCCTCCTATGCAGAAGAGGATCATCGTCCAGGCAGAGAACCGGCACGACCTGTTGATGTAGGATGATAAAGGATGGATGATAGGGGAACGTAAAATTGTTTTTGGTGTAATTTGAATGTTTTTTCCGCTAGTTACCATCTCTTTACCGCAGAAAAGTACCATAACTTACAGTACACATATTTTTCCATAGATGGCGCTTTGTACAATTTAAACGAACGACACAATATTTTCTTTAAATACGTCATGTAATACACTTTTGAACTACGAATGACGCCAAGAGTAACAACTAGTTTCAGAATTACCTTATGTTCCTAATTCATTAATTAATCACTTTATTGCAGCAATTGATTGTGATATCTAATCTTTTATACACTGGTTTATAATCTGTTTTATAAAGGTTGGTATTAGTTTTATTCCAATTTCGACAGAGAGTACTGTTTCGACACAACACAAATTGTAAGTAATTTTATTCATTGCTTATTTAATATAGGTACTTGTTATAAAAGTATTTTTATAGCTTAGGACGGCAAACGAGCATAAGGCACAGAGCGCTTTCTCTTGAAACCAATGTCAATGTCAATGCAATTTCAATTCAATAAAATCTCAATAATTATTCAACGTCAAAACTACAACCTTAATCGTAGGATAACCGATAATCGTAAAATAGCATTTAGAGTTCAAATTATAAATCCAAACTCAATATCATTTATTTCATTAAATATCTACGCAATACGGATGCAATTGGCGCTAGTGTTGCTACAAATTTAAACAATAGCAATGTCGATCGAGCGGAATTGAATGCAAGTGTAAGCCTCCAGATCACCTGATGGCAAGCAATCAGTGCCAGCCATGGACACTCGCAAGACCGGAGGAGTTACAAGTCCGTTGGCAGCTTTCAGAGCATCAGTTTATTTAAAATCATTTATTTTACAGATGAGGAGTTTCATCATCATCGCGGTGCTCTCAGCACTCGCAGCCTGCTATGATTGCGCTGTCATTAATAATGAAGTGGTCACCACCAAAGGAACTGCCAGGGAAGGAGATGTAATCTTCTTTGAGTGAGTTCTATTGTAAATAGCAGCTGTCTGCGTAGAATATGAATTTTAGGACATAACTTTATTTTTTTTAATTTTGTAAAATAAAAGTAGTCTATATTACTCCTTGGTACATCAACTACCTGCCAATAAAAGCAAATCGGTCCAGCCATTCCAGAGATTAGCCAGTACAAACAGACAGAGAGACAGACAAAAATTATATAAAAAATATATTTTTGATATGTGTATCGTATGTATATTCATGTAGTAAAAAGCGGCCATTTTGATATTACAAACAGACACTCCAATTTTATTTATCTGTATAGATTATCTTCTGGGTAACAATATACCAGTTAACAGTTAGGTTTAGCATTTTATACGTACTTGTATATCTTTTATTATTATAAATGTTTTTCTTTCTTTCTTTTCTTTCTTTTCTCATCATCATCATCATCATAACATTGCGCCTTTTTATCCCCGAAGGGAGGCAGAGGTGCACATTTCGGCACTTAATGCCACTGTACAATGTAACACCCACTTTTCACTATTTATGTTATGAGTCCCATGTAATAGGGGGTGAGCCTATTGCCATATACCGGCACAATACCAGACTCCGTGCTACTACTGAGAATTTTGTAAAAACCCAGTAATACTTTGCCCGATCCGGGAATCTAACCCGAGACCCCTTGCAACGAGGCAGACAATAATAATAATAGATCTATATATAATGGGTTTCTTTTATTTCCAGAAAAACTTACTACGTGCCTGCTGAACCATTTTCCATACAGCGACTTGACGTGGCCTATTATGGGAACTCTACAACATACATCAACCAGATCCGAATCATAGAACCGAGACTAAATCCCATTGGAAGTGTCACCTCTTCAGCATTAGGCAAAACCTTTATGCAATTGAGGATATCCAGTGTCGTTGGTGGCTTCCTTCATTTAACTGTCCAAATCTTAGGTTATTATACTGATTCGCCTTAAGTACCTATATTGTTGAAAAGATCTTTGTGTTTAATATAATGATTAATGTTTCCTTAATTATGGATTAAAGTCAAAATGAAAACATTTATTTCAATTCATCCTTGATAGTGTTTTCTTTATTTTTAGTATTTAGCTTCTGCCGGCGACTTTGTATGCGCAATCCCGTTTTCTCCCGTTCCCGTAGGATTTTCAGGATTTTTTTTCTGTCATAAGAACCTTCTCCAGACAATAACAAACACAACAAAAAAACCAGCCAATTCAGTCTAGCTGTTCTCAAGATATGGTGTGACAACGGGAAACGGTATGGGAGAGCCATGCTTCGGCACGAATGGGCCGGCTCGACCGGAGTGATACCACGGCCTCACAGAAAACCGACGTGAAGCAACGCTTGCGTTGTGTTTCGTCGTGTGAGTGAGGTTACCGGAGGCCCAATTACCTTCCCCTTCCCCAATCTCCCCAATCCCTGAATCCCCAACGATCCTCAAACTCCTAATCCCCAAAAAGCCGGTGACGCACTTATAACGCCTCTGGTGTTACAGGTGTCAATGGGCGACACCGATTGCTTACCATCAGGTGATCCGTCTGCTCGTTAACCGGCTTATGTATGCCATAAAAAACTGGCTCTCCCATACTTCACACAAATTACGTTCCTAATTCAAATTTATCTGGTAGATATTATCTTAGTCTTCATTCTACAAAAATTGTGATAATTGCTTTTAAAACTATATTTTATTATATTGCAAAATGACATTACACAACACTTTTAACCGACTTCAAATAGGAAGGTTCTCAATTTGAACTATATGTACATATGTATTTATTTTGTGCGTGATTTTCTCACGATTGGCTGAACCAATTTTGGTGTGGTTTCAGAGAAGTGTTTGGTACACTTAGGATAAGGTTTTAGTAATTGTTAATAAAACGACCTCAAAAAAGGTTGAATTCGGTTTTGTTTAACGCAGTTTATAAAATAATTGACTGCCTCGTTGGCCGAGTGGTCGCAAGTGCGACTGCCGGGCAAAGGGGTCGCGGGTTCGATTCCCGGGTCGGGCAAAATATTACTGGGTTCTTAAAAATCTCAGTAGTAGCACGGAGTCCGGAAATGTGCCCGGTATATGGCAATAGGCTCATCCCCTATTACATGGAACTCATAACATAAATAGTGAAAAGTGGGTGTTACATTTTACAGTGGCATTAAGTGCCGAAATGTGCACCTCTGCCTACCCCTTCGGGGATAAAAAGGCATGATGTTATGTTATGTTATAAAATAATTATCTACCATTCGTTTCCAGAAACTGGACTCATGTGTTCGTTAATAAAATTCAAACACACAATCATTTTAGCGTGATAGTGCGACTAAAACCACGGGAAGCTAGTTGTAGGCATAAAAACTTTTAATAATTTTAATAAACATGACAAATAACCTGCTAAACTAGAAATCATTTTTGTAATTCATAAGGTCATCAACATTATAATACGAGTCTCGAAGAACTTCTGATCAAAAAAGTTCATTTGATAGTTTCAAATTCGTTGATACAGTCATGAGGCAATTATTATTTTTAATTTTAGTCCTTACATTAACAGTAATAGTAGAAAATGTTCCAGTTAATAAAAATACGCCTGAACCAGTGGACAGTGACTTTGAAACGAATACAGCTTATGTGACAAGTGAAAGTGCAAACGAGAGTGAACCTTCTCATAATGTGAATAAACGTGAAAATTTCGAAGGAGGCTGCATTTCAAAAACGCAGAGGTTTAACGGTTTCTGTGCTATGTTATTAGGATGATGAGGTTATAGACTTAATGAACTATATTTTGAGCTTAGTATTGCCCAAGTGATAGATAAACGTGTCTTAGGACTGAAATGGTCGGTACTAAAAATATTGTAGCACAGTACAGTGTACAGTGGGAGGTTGCTATGGTGATATAGAAGAACGAACCTTTCTTCGGCAGTCACATCTTGCAGCTTACAGAAGATGATGATGTATCACATTTTGACATAATAAAACATGAGTTTAACTCGTCGAGTACCGTCATTATAGACACAATTAAACTGTCAAACACCAAGTGGTCACCGGTGACCGCAACCTATTGTTCTATAATTGTGTCTACAAAACCGGTACTCGACGAGTTAAAGAACAATAGGTTACGGTCACCGGTGTCCTCGCGGTATTAGACAGTTTAAACTGTCAAACACCAAGCAGTCACCGGTGACCGCAACCTATTGTTCTATAATTGTGTCTATAATGACGGTACTCGACGAGTTAATACACTCAGATGTAAAATAACTTTATGCAGATCGTACAAATAAAGGATAACTGCCGGAATCTACAGTATGATGAGTAGACCGTACAGCTAATACACCAATCAGGAAACCATGGATAAACACAAATACTAGATTATTCAATTCGATGATGAAATCAGAAGAAGGAATGCATTACTTATTCTAGAACATGAAGATATCTGTGCATCATGGAAGGTGGACATGGGAAGAAAACTGGTTATCTTCAAGGCCCGAGTAAAAATGTTGCTTATGAACAAATATTTTCTAGCTGATGACACAATAGCCCATAGGAAGAAATAAACACATTGTCTGGCGTGGAAAATGAAACTGAGGACGACGCGAATGCTTACACGACATTCAGCTTAAACTAATGTTTGAGGGACCAGTCTAAATAACCAATCCATCTGTATATATTCGTACTATAAATAGAATTTTAACACATTTTATACGCGAGTGAGCTTATGTCAATTTTTTTTCTGTTGTAACCACATCCTCATTGTAATTAATGACAACTACTTCTATCTAAAGAATGTAAGATTATATTAATAATATTATTATAATGTCTATTTTGTTTCTTTTTAAATTACTGGTTCTATTACAATGTGATTGCCTGTGTTTAAAATATGACTGCCTCGTTGGCCGAGTGGTCGCAAGTGCGACTGCCAGGTAAGGAGGCTCGGGTTCGATTCTCGGGTTGGGCAAATATTAGTGGGTTTTAAAAAAAATCTCAATAGTAGGCTCACCCGCTCACCCCCTATTACATGGGACTCATAACACAAATAGTGAAAAGTAGGTATTACATGGTACAGTGGCATTAAGTGATGTGCACCTCTGCCTACCCCTTCGGGGAAAAAAGGAGTGATGTTATGTTATGTTGTTTAAAATATGTAGGTACCAAGGCATATCGTTGATTTATTAATATTGAAACTATGTAAAAAGCAAAACATGACAGTTCTTAATATCATAATATTAAACTGGTTTCAAATTCATGCGTTAATTTGATTTGTCATTAACATTTTTATACGTATTTTCCTGTTATCTAAATGCATTAGGATATTCGCTTATTACTAGACACTTGTATGCTATTTAAATTAAATATCACGAGTCACATTTTGTAATTTGATAATTTTATTTTTTTTTTCTTTACATTTAACCTTGCCCCATACTAGGATTTTCTCCTGTGTCGTCAGGTGCGTTCACAAACATACAAGTTCACATACACAATGACATCAAGACCCGAAACAACAATTTGTGGATCACACGCGACACGTTGCACGGCAGCCGGTTGCCCAGCCACCGCACCAACCGTGCAGTCCGCAGCACCAGCATCCGTGTATTTTGTTAATACAAAAACTATTTTGAACGTCTTAATATACCCATGGCTGAAAAAACCTTTTGTAAATGGCTTAGAAAAGACTTCATCAACAGCCTATAAATTCCCACTGCTGAGTAAAGCCTCTTCTCACACGGAGAAGGTTTGAGCATTAATCACCACGCTCGCTCAATGCGGGTTGGCGATTTCAAACTTACAATTAGAAATTATAAGCCCAGGCTATCTTGCGATGTTTTCCTTTATCGTTTATCAGTGGTGTCTAAACAATATTAACCTTTCGTGTGGCTAAAACGTAGATCCACGCGAGACACAAATGGGGTAGACGACTAATTTTTATTTTAATGTCCGTCTGGTAGATTATTTAAAAACATTAGACACGTATTTTTTATTTTCTTACGGAAACGAATAATTTCGAAGATATATTGATTTGAAATGTCGCGTGACGTCACTTCTCAGTACATTTTATACTAAGAAATGACGTTTTAGCCCCCACTCCTAAACTTTAATTCGTTTTATCTAAGTATTGTTTTATTATACAACAAAATAAAAAAATACGTGTCTAATATTTTTTTCTTACCTAAGTTACGGACTAATTATATTTTTAATTTTCATACCCTGTCATCATCCCCATTGTATTTTCTATTGTCTCATATCGGTGCATTCAAAAGGTTAAGGAAAGCCTTAAGGAGGGTTTATTTTGGGTGTAAAATTATTGTGACTTTGGCCACGCGAGAAAAAGTCCAGGACAAAAAGCTGGTTTAGAAAAATTAAAAGAAAAATTCAATCATTATCCTTCAGTGAAACTGATTGCTCATTCCAAAGTGTATTTTCGAATAATGATATAATTATAGAATCTGATTACCATTACCACCTGACCTTATAATATTTCCGTATTCAAAGAGCTTGTTGTTAATGCAGAAAAATATTGAGATGTTTTTTTAGTGCATACTATAATAACAGGAAATTACACTAGAGAAGAAACCTTGATTTTTTGTAATATAGGAATACTAAATCGCTTCCATTGGCTTTGTTCACAATGAATAAAAAATCTCTTGAGTAATAATCCCTACCCTATAAAATAATTGAAATTATCAACAGCCTGTTTTAAAAGGAAGAAAATCATCCAACGACTTTTCCCACTTTGGGTGAGGCGAAATTGTTAGACTCATACTGACTGAAAACCACCCCGTTTCTACTCCTTCCTTGAGCCGTAGCCCCGGTAAGGTTGTCTGCAAATGTGTCACAGCCCTATAAATGCATTTATCTAAAAAACAGCCTGATATTCTCTTTTAAAACTAAACTCTCCAATCATAAAAAGAATTTTCAAATTAGTGTGGTAGTTTCAGAGCCCATGCAAACAGACAATGAAATCTCTTTTCTACATAGTACCTATTAACTTTTCTTATATTCTATTTTCTTTGCAGCCATGATCGTCCCACTGCACCGCAAAAGCTTTTTGTGGCCAATCCATATTATAGATATCTATCTATTTCGTCCCGCCATCTCTTTTTGGGCCTGCCGCGACTTCTATTGACGTTGAATGGGCTCCACTCAGTACTAAGTTTTGCCCACCGCTCGTCTGACATGCGGCAGGCATGATCATTAACTTAGACTAAAATAAAAAACAAATTACCGAAAATCACATTTAATCACTCACTTTTGTTTAAGAAGTCACTTATTTGTTTTTGCACGTATGACATCCAACCTGACTGTGCCCAGAAATCTTGAACAAATTTTGCATATCTCGTTATTTCACTATCACCATCCCTCATTTTCACATCACTCCGTTTGACAGCACCATCATCATGAACTTGTTCCACTAAAATCCCACGTTCTTCTGTCACGACGTTCTTAATATCAAATCCAAGAGAGTTCACAAATTCACAGTCCCATTCGCTACTCATCAAAGTCGTGGGGTAGCTGAATTTAGAAGCTACACTTATTGGTATTAAAATAAATAAAACACACAGTCTCATGGTTGAGTCTACGAGTTACTATTGGCAAATGAATTTGGTCTTTAAAGATGATAGAATGTATTGGTATTGGCAACTTATTGCATCACAACTTGACTTAAATTAGGCTGCACATATTCAGAATATTTTGTGCATAATTTAACCTTTTACCAATAACTATAAAATGTAAACAAGTGACAGTAGTTTGTAGTGTCCAGTATAACTTGAGCTCTTGGTAGTCTGAATTTTTATACTGAGTAAGATCGTTAATAAATTGGTTATCTTAATTCATAGATAATACTTTTCTACATTTATAACAGTAGCCTTTATTACCCGACTACGGCAAAGCAAAATGAGGGTTATGATTTTAAGTATACGATATAGTTAACTAACTACTAATAAAAGTTCAAATTAAAATAGTATCTCACTTAGGGCCGATTTACAATAATCAGTCAATTCTAAACTGTAGCAATAAAATTGAAATTAGAAAGTATGGAAGTATAGTCAAATATTCAAAATTGTTCTTCAGTTATGTATCTGGCATTAATATTGTAATTTTCTCTAACGTGTGCTATCATTGTTACCAAAAAATGTTAAGATCATTTAAAACAATACAGCCGTTTTTGAGTTCCATCTGGGAAAAGGAATTAACTAATAATGAAAATAACTTATTTAATGGTTTTAGCAGAAACCCATTACAATTTTAAGATATATCTATAAAAAAAAAACTGGTATCCCAGCAACATTTTTTCTGAGAATAACGACCGAATGGAGTTTCTTGCTCGTTCTTCTTGATTCGAATCTACATTTTGGAATGAGCACCTAGCTTCACCTAGCTTCACTGACGGACTGACTGACAGACTATTATTTATATTTGTTGACGTTTCAAAGTACCAAAATATGATTTAATTGAAATAAATGCTTTGACTTTGACTTTGAATATCTAGTTTTATTTATGTTAACCTATTCTACGGTAATCTACATTTCGCTAAAGGCTAAGTTTATCAAGGGAAAAAAACAACACAGTAAAAAATTAAACCATTTATTTTTAGACAATTCAATAGCGCACAACAAACTTTGAAGCCACTCTAAGACTATTTTCTAAACATGGGCTGGCGTCATAATTTCTATCTTCAAGTATTTTTAATGAGGTTCAACACATATAGTGCCTACTCTTACATTGTCTCTTGGACATTTGCTTCCATCAAAGGTAATACCTCCTGGTAACTCGAAGGACTCTTCAGTAACACCTTCCTTCTCCGTCGTGGTCTCAATCGGATAAGCATTGCAAGATAAAACTAATAGAACACAAATGTATATCACTGACAAGTTCATGTTGACCGGTGTTTGATCCAAGCTTTACTGGTGGTTCAACGACATCTTCCCATTTTATATAATGACCAAAGTTCAATGATCTTCTATAGCCTCACAATTATGACTTGTTTATTTCTTTACTTATAACACTGGATTTATTTTACACAACTTTATACTGGCAATGAAGTTATTTAGAACTTATTCTGGTACTACGCACTGTGAGTTTATTCTTACTTTTGGTTCAGGACAATCACTAGCGTCCAAGCTAGACTCTAGAGGTCCAAATTCATTATAATCAGGAAATACTTCGTAAACTTCTACTTTTTCTATTTTAACTTCTACTCTTGGGCGACCATTGCAAGATAAAATTAATAAAATACAAATCAACAACACTTGTAGCCTCATGCTGATTGGATCAACACTATTCATTTAATAATATCGCTTCTTCTTATATGAATCATGTACTTGCCACAGAGGTACGTCATACGTATT